AAAGAACGCAACCCAGGGCCCACATGTCGACGGATTTGGAGTACCGCTCATCCTTCACGATCTCGGGAGCTGTGTACCCGACTGTGCCGCAGGGCGTCATGGTTTGATTGTCCCAGACAATCTTGGAAAGACCAAAGTCGGCAATCTTGATCTGGCCGATGCCGCCTGCTCCGACGCCGGGAATGAACTCGCCCTCATCGACCTTATCTTCGTCGCCGGGCTGCCTGGGCTTCGGAATCTTGGACGGAACAATGGGAATCGGGCTGAACAGGATGTTTTCCGGTTTGATGTCGCTAGAAAGTATCGGATTAGCAAATGACGGTGGTCAAAGCATGATGACGTCACGAGGCTTATGCTGACTGGCATTTTACCCTTCCAGGCGCTAATGTACTAAGAGGATTGCTCGACGGCCAGACCGTCCGAAGCGAGCAGGCAAAGGGGGACGTACCGGTGAACAACACCTCTTTCCTCGTGCAGGTACTCCAGAGCCTTGGCCACTTGTACGATGACGTGTCGGGAAAGGTCCTCGCTGAAGTATGTGAGGCGGACGATTTGGTGGAAGAGCTCTCCGCCGGGAGCCAGTTCGAGGATGATGTAATAGTACTGCCTCGATTCGGAAAAGTCTATGAGCTTGATGATGTTGGGGTGGTCGAGCTGTCGCATAATCTGAACCTCTTTGAGGATGTTGGCTCTCTATGGTGGCGTCAGCAGGATTGTTCGGAGATGTAAATGGAGAGCCATCCTCGAGTTAACAATAGTAGAGCAACACGTGTGTCGTAAAGTGAGGATGACCCAGCAAGATAGGACAAATGAAATACTGAAAAGTTTTCGCACCTCTGCAGCCTTGGGGACCTTCTTGAAGTCCGGGTGTAAATGCTTGTTTCCCTAAGATCGCTCTTGTTGGTATGGGAATGCTCAGAGAAGGCGACAAGCACAACAGATTGTTGAAGAGAAAAAAACGAAGAAATCATGGTCGCGGCCGTAACCACCCAAGCACCAACTCACCTGCATACTGTTCATTTCATACTTGCGAACGACCTTGATGGCGCACTGGGCGGGGTATTCACCCGTGGTATCGCGCGCACGATAGACGTTGCTGAAGGCGCCATCGCCCATCTTCTCCAGCAGCTCCCATCTCTCTAAGCCAGGGTATCTCGGAAACTTGCTTTTGCTCTCGTTCTCTTCAGCAATGAGCTTCGCAATGTGGGCGCTGTCAATGTTCTTGCCCGCCTTGGAGGTCTTGTTCTGGTTCGGCTCGACGGCGTGGGCGGCAGCGTGACCGGCTTGCGCGACGCGGTTCTGCTGATCATCGCCAGCGAGCGAGTATGCTTCGGGGGGCGGTTGGCCGGGGTTGGCAGCGCCGAACGCTGGCTCGGAGATGCCTACTTGCGCCTTCTGGGGCGGTGAGTTTTGCTGCTTGGGTGACGTTTCGCCGTTTGCGTTTCGAGCTTGCTTTCCTGTAGGCGATACACGTTAACGCTGTGGAGAGGAACGAGGGACACAGAAAAAGAAGCAGATGGCCGAGCAGTGTAGCACAGAACTATACTGCATTCGCGACTAGTCGTAGAAGGACGGGACAAACGTCGCAGGAGGTCAGAGGGAAGGGGGGGCCGTCGTACCGTGTCGGATGAAGTTCTTAAGCTGCTGTATCGTCGACATTTTGATCGTTTGGGTCGCTACGAGGAGCGATCGAGACGTGAGGTTATCCGCGATCCGCTACGTCTAGAGTGAAGCGCAAGTCGCAATTCAACAGGCGGTCGGTGGCTGCCTCAGTCGCAGCGTGCCCCGGGTTTCGAGGGGGGCGGTTTGCTGATTGCCCTGTGGATTGGTAATGCGGAGACGGCGAAAGACAAGTCGTGGGGAGTATGTGCTCTCGAAACGGTGCGATCTGCTGTAGTGGATTGTATCGCGAGAAGGCAAGAGTGAAAAGATTTGTGCCGAGTCAACAAGAGAGGAAATGCAAAGTTGAACTCTTTGTGAAATGGGGAGGGTGGGAGAAGGCAGCTGAAAGGGAGAAATCGTTGCGAGGGGGGGTTTGTGGACTGTGTACGGACGGTGGTGATGTTGACGGAGGGGCAACGTGGACTCGGATGACGGCAGCTGAAGGAACAGGCAGGCCAACTAAAAGACGGGGCGGGAACGCGGGCTGCAGCAAAGCAAGCAAGCAACACGTTTGTCTCAACGGAGGAATTGATTAGGCTAGGCTGGGTAGAGAGGGAGCTGGGGGGGACGACGCTAGGTACCAAAGCAAGATGTGCGGGAAAATGGAGAAATGGGAATGAACCAGGGTGGAGGGTTCAGGCCGGACAGGGCCAGGCAAAGAATGGCAGGCGATGACGGCGTTGAGCGGCACGCAATGTGAGAGTGAGTGCGTGAGTGTTTTGTGTCTACTGTGCGAACGCAGGGGCTGGACTGGATGCCGTCTGCTCGGGCTGATTTTCTGCTCAGCGCGGGCCAACGATGATGACAGAGTGGGAATTGGGTAGGATGAGGTAGGTCGGCGTCAGAAGGCGAAGAAAAAGGTGTGTGGGAGTGGCGTGGATGGTGCCAATGGTGTCAATGGAGCGCGTGGTGTGTGTGAGAGGGTGCAAGTCGAACAGGTACCGTGAGTACCAGAATGAATACCTGGTGAGTATGTTTTTGAAGAGAAGCGGTTACCGAATCAGTGGCGCAGTGAATATGTCAATGTATGAGAGGCGGATCGTGGTAGCAAAGAAAAAAAAAAAAAAAAGGGTAGCGAGGAATGAAGCGGCGACAGGCCTCGGGGCGGGGAGGAGGAGGCAGCCCAGCAGAAGCAGGCCAAGCAACAATAACATTCACTAACAAAACAGCTGCACCAGCAGCGATGAGCGATGGGGAGCGGCCCCGTCTTGGATGCATCGGCAACACCAGCACCAGTACCAACAACGGATTACGCGCAGTAGTGGGCGTGCACGGTGACTGGAAACCCTCTTTTCCTTCTTTCCTTTTCTTCTCTGTCGGCATTCCATGGAAACACATCTGATGACTGGCCGGCCGCCACACTTGGTAGGTACCTTGAGATACGAAACCGAATACCGCAGGTGCGCCCGCCTTGGTTGCTTCCCGTCATGTTAAACAAGGGCGGGGGCAGCCGGGGCAGGCGCCGCAGTGACCCAACCTTTCCTTTCCCATCCGTCCAACATGCAAGGCGGAAGGTGCTACTAGTACACTACATAGGACACTGTGCCTTCCTGCCTCCTGCTCCTACTACATTAATTGGTCTGTATTGCTCTTTTACTTTCCACGGCATACATGCACAAGTCCAAGTACGTACATGCGTACGAACGAACGTGTACTGCAGGTAGGTAGGTAGGTATCTTTCCCAGCCTTTCCGTAGTAGCTTCCTTTTTTGCTTTACCAGTTCATTCCCCTCCGGCTGTCCCGACAGTGATGTTTTCAGCCGCCACCCTCGTTTCAAATTGTCGTTTTCATCACCCAAGACGCCCCTCACAACCCCAGAACCGTCCGACGTGCATCAGATCCAGCATCGGACACAGACTGACAGGGTAGAGTACTCTGGTTTGCTGCACCCGAAGCAAGGAAACGGGACGAGGGGAATTTCGCGGGAATCAAGGCCATGCTCATCCACCCTCACGTTCTCCGGCCCTCCTCTAGTTCGCAGATACCGGGCGCCAGGTCGAAAAGTGATGACATAGGTAGGAATCGAGCACGCGCGTCAAGTCGTACCGTACCGAGAACACTGTGCTACGGCCACGGACCGCCGCCATCATCATGCCAAGAAAGCACTTCTCGGGTGGCGCTGACAGCGCGCTAATGATGCCAGCCGCTTGTCTTGGGGCACTGGTGCGAGCGAGACAGTGATGACACTGTGCGTCTGTGACAGGCAGGCGGGGATTTTACAAATTAGACAGGAAGGAAACCCTTATCATTTTTCAGAAAAAGAAAAAGACAAGGCTCGTGCTGATCTTTCTGCCTGTGTGTGTTCTGCGCTCTCAATCTATCCTATGCGTACACTAGTCGCTCGATGCCCGGCTGAGACAGAAGCCAAGTTGGGCGGCCAGATGGAAGAGACTCGATGACTCGTGAGATGCCCAAAACCGCATTCTCCTGTTTTCGATGAATTTGGAGAGGCCTGGCTGCACTACACTGCAGTGCACTACACTGCAGCAGGGCCGGCCAGGGGCCAGGGCCAGGGTCAGGGCCAGGGCCAGGCAAGGAACCGAACGACCCAAAATCCGTGCAGAGGGACAGAGCCCACGAGCAGGGCTCGCTCGTCTTGCTTCTCAATTCTGGATCAATGGCGCGTTCCACTCGTTTGGATGGCGGGGCCCCCGTTATGACGTCTGCCTCATCGTCATACCCGCCATTCCTGGCGGGGTTTTTTTTTTTTATCATGGGAAGCAGGTGCGCCGTTCAAAGTGGAGGCAGGCACCAGGGAGAGGGAAGGGAAGGGAAGGGCCCCATCGAAGGAGGACTTGTGGGCTTTGCTTTGGCCTTTCCCTCGCTGCCTGAGGCCAATGCTTGGAAATGGTGCGTGCAGACCCCAGCACTCCTCATGATTCATTACTCAGCCCGAGTAAGGCACGTGTCTGAGCCCCACGGACCCTCGTTCGCTTGTCGGTCGCCAAAATGTGACTCTGCTGGGATCCCCTTTCCTCTTTGATCGTCTCTTTTGCTCGTAATCCGCCCCTCTAGTCGCCGCTGCTGTTAGTCTGTCTGTCACTGCCCTGGTGTTTCCGCGCAGTACCTATTGCTCCGTACACTACGGATACAGAGTATAGTGTATCAATCATTACCTATTACTATTATTGTCCCGGCCCTGGTTCGCCGTGGAAGTGCTGATTCCCGTCGTATCCGCCTCGCATCTACCCGCGTCACGACGCACGTCCACTGCTCCATACTCCGTACTACGAGTAGTATTGCTCCGTCCGCCTCGACCAATCATGCCTGTTTTCCTCGCCTCGCTCCAATACCTACCAAAGCACACCCCGCAGCAAGCCGCAGGTCTACATGTGACCGCACGATACAAACGAATAGGTGATTTAAAATGATGAGTGGCTTCTGTGGCTTGCTCATCGCTGCTCATCATCATTTCGCTGACGACAAACGGACACATCTCGATTTGCGTTTGCCAGAGTGCAGCCAGTCTTTCACCAACCAGCCCAGTCCAGTCCGTGGCTTGTCATCCACGCGACGCGGGGGCCGGCCGAGTCCGGGATTGAGATATTGGCTGTCTGGTTTCCGTTTCCTCTGCCTGCCTGCATGCACATGCGCATGCCATGCCCTCGACGAGCAGGCATCAGCAATGACCTCATACCTCGTCCCTCATCAACTCGAGCCGGGCTTCGCAACGATACGCACGGTACGTACTAACTGGTCCTTCGTCTCTGACCGGGGGACATTCTACCGTGTAGAAAAGAAAGATCACAACGTTGTCGACGAACCTCCCTCTACTGCGAGATCGACGCACTTGTCACGACATCCTAGACATTCCATTTCCATTTTTGAATTCCGCACGCAGCCGAAAAAAACTAAAAAGAAAAAAGGCTAAGAGTGCCTCATGGACTGGTCCAGACCACCGCCTGCGCACGAGCCATCTTATTCCGTCATTCCATATGCCGTGCAAGGTACAATTATCAATCACACCAAGTTACCTGCCATGAACTGGTACCTAGCGACCTCGACTTCGTGTGGTAGGCACAGTACACTACTAATCCTACGAGGCTAAACTACTGGTAGGTACCTACCTACCTACCTAGGTGAGCGTCATCGGACCCTTTCTGCAGCACCAGCCACACCCAGCCCCTCTTCGCTGCTTTGTGGGCGTCACCAGCCACTCTTCGGTCTCTTGCTTGTCTAAACGTCGAGTCCTGTCCTGCTACGAGCCCTGGCCAAGAATTTGAGACAGCAAGCATCTTGAGCATTCCATCCAGTTACCCGCCCCGCGATTCCCACCGGCCTAGATCCAGTCTTTGACTTGTCTTGGTTGGCCGATGCGAGTGGCGAATAAGGGATATCCAGGGAGCAGAAGAGCGTCGACTTACACGTACACGCCGCATTGGGACATTGCATCACCGACCTACACAACGTTGGCGGTGCCGACATGCCCAACAATACTACCGTATACAACCAGTATTCGCCTGTTATTCAGCTCATCTAGCGCGCTCGACAAACCCAGCGTCGGACGACTTCACCCGAATCCGTAGCCCTGCTCCCCCCCAGGTTCGGTCGTCATCCACATACGTGCCGCCATCAACAACATCAAGCGCGCCTCATCGTCGGCACTCCACACTCAATTACCATGCCGGTCTTCCTCCCGCTGGGACGGCTCCTTGAAATTTGATCCTGCCACCATGAGAGCGTGCGCGCGCCCGTGCTGAATCGGGAGAGGATCCCGTTCTGGCGTCAGCGCGATACAAAACACACCTTGACGTCATCCCACCGTTGGACAGGCCTGCATGTCTCCCCACGAGGGCTTCCACGGTGTGTGTGATGGTGACATAAGGGGAAAAGCCTGCACAAATCGACACCCGCATTGTCATCTTGACTTGGCCGTTGTTGTCTCGGATGCCTGCCCGTTTTGTGCCGGTTGACAACATCAAACAAGCGAAGCTACGTACACCTTTGGTGGCTCGGTGTGTCTGGATGCGCGTCCTAGTCTATCTATCCTGACGTCTTGGGATCGTCCTCCCTTCGGCGGCCTTCCGATTCTAAATGTGAATCCGTTGCAACCATGTTGTCGTGTGGCTTTCCCTGGCAAAGACTGAGACGCCTGGCTATGGACGATTGGTTCCCCCCGTAAGGTCGCCGCACAGGCACACAATGCTACAAGTTTTGCCCGACCATCGCGGGAGCAAGTTACCACCAGCCCAGGCCGTCACGCCGGTTCCACGTTTTTGCGAGGGCCTCCACAATGAAGTCATTTGTGCCCTTGTCCACTCCCCCCATCTTGATTCTCCCCACGGAAACCCCTTCGTGCCGGCAACCCGGATCGGAAACCACTGCTTGATAACAGCCAGGGCCTGATGGACGGGCTCGGCTTCGCGCCATTGGGGGGGGGAGGGGGGGTGGGTAAGTGGTATTGATATCATTCGCAACGGCATTGCGCCGTTATTTCGAGCAAAGGTTAACGGCAAGATGGGCCATACCTTGGATCAACTTCCAAGATTCCCCACCTTGGGATTTCAAATGGGCTGGCCACACACGCAAGAGGCCAGACTAGAAAACCAAGGGGTGGTATTCGTCCCCCCCCCCCCCCCCCCCTAAACACTGTTTTCTGCTGCCATGGGGTTGGTTTGGTTGCCCGAACCATCTGCAAGCCGTTGAAGATTGGGGTATCATTGGGCAGCAATCACAGCCAGAAGCTGCTCCACAGATTAGCCTTCGCCCACCTCTGGGTTGGGTACATGAAACCAACCCTTTTCCAGGACTTGAAGAAGTCCGGTTTTCTCCTCGAACAGGTTTTCTCTCGGGTACAACAGCCGGGGGGGCAGTTGTGGAAGGCGTGGTGTGGTGTTCAGCAGCAGACTCCCGTAAACCGGGGTAAGGTCTTTTTTTTTTTTTTCTCTTTTCGCCTAGCTAACTAACACTGCATGACGGGAAAACTGGGAACTTCAATCGCGCCTGATCTTGATAGGATGCTTTCTGTCTCCTGGGCGCGAAAGCTCGGCGGTGCGGGAGACAAATGTTGGATACCGGCCTAGGTCGACATCCTGCAAAGCAACTACCGGGTCTGTTTTGTTCCCAACATGCTCTTGGACGATTACTGTCGAGCTGCCTCGTCCAGATGGTAAGGGTTAGGTTCACTTATTTCCGTAATCGGGTTGGCCAAGTATCCATTGTCATGTTTGTCAAGATGAAGCTCTTTCGACGCCCATCTGTGTCAATCCGTGGTGGTCATTCTGCCTCCTTGACTGTCCCGTTGACCAGAGGGTGTTCAGTTACACCGCATGGCCTGTTAGTATTGCCCACTGTTGTGACCTATATAGGTCCTATATAAGGCGTTAGTTGCTGCTCTGCCACTAACGGCGTCGTTTTTAGTATAACAGTTATGAGCCCAGTTCGCTCTGGTGCCAGTATGGTACAGCCCCAGAGTCTAGCGTCTGAGCGTCATAGACCTTGTGGGTTCGATTCCCACTTGTAGCCTGGTCTGGCAGTATTTTAATACCTAGGGTTCGATTCCTATTACAGGCTAGTAGGCTAAAGGGTGTCGCTTCCCCCTGTCAACTCTGACTAAGTATAATGCTCTGCTTAGATTAGGGGTGTCAACTAGATTAAGTATCTCTGCTTAGTCTGGGGGGGTGTGTTGTGACCTATATAGGTCCTATATAAGGCGTTAGTTGCTGCTCTGCCACTAACGGCGTCGTTTTTAGTATGACACCCACATAACAGCACCCCTGCCTTCCCCTTCCCTCGGCAGGGCGCTTGTCCAAAAAGAGTCAACATCGACACAACGTCGTCTTGGTATCGTCCCCTCTTGCAGATGATATCCACCCCCCCTCCTATCTTTCCCATTTCCAACTTGCTTGTCTTTTTTCATCGCCCGGAAAGAAAGAATAGTCGATATTGTTGAGGACAAGTTCTACACGCGTGGGCGTGGGCGGGCGAGCGGGTGATATCATGGTGAAGTCACGGAGAGAGTGATCTACGGCCGACGTCAGTTTCGACGCGAATCCGATGCACGCCGAGAGAACCGATTGCAGGTTTTAGATGGTGCAAGCAAGACAGGGGGAGACGAGGAGGGGGGAAGTGTCTCTCATCCTGCGGTCATCTCCCGGTTGTGTCTTGCCGCTCAGACATGTATGCTCGTATTGCTTCATTTTCTTTTCTATTTGCCCCCTTTTTTTAGTCTACGTCTCATGACGATGTGTAGGTATCAGGAACGCGGATCTACCAGTCGTGGCTTCGCCGCAGCAGCTCCCATTTATTGGGAGCTGTGGACAGGGAGCGTGTCCGGCAGAGTGGCAAGGTTTCCGGGGATGAGCCGACAGTAAGCCTCATATTTCTCCAGCGAAACTTGAGGCATGTCTTTGGTAGGGTTGACACCTCCGGAGATACTCCGGTGTCAGACGACGTCCACCGTAGAGGCGGTGGGGCCGAGTCGATTTGTACGTGTGTTAATGTGTTCTCTGTCCTGTGGTTTTAGTGAAAGTATTTTCCTGCTCGAAAGACGTGTGCGTATGGCCTCATGTTTCAGGCGCAAGGTGATTTTAGACAAGACTAGATAATGGTGGTGGAAGCAAGGGCTCCGCTGGCCGAGGGGCGGCGAAGAAAGTCGTAGGCAGTGTGGACAGCCGATCGAGGATGGTACTGTTTTCCACCATGGGCAAAGGAGATGGCGGTGGCGACGGGGTTTGTAATATTCATGGAGATGAGCGCGTCGCCGAGAGATAAATTGTACGATGTACGAAGTATATCTGCTGGCTGTGAGGTAACCCTTGCTTCAAGACGACAGACGACGACGGCATGGCGAAAGCAAGCAAAAAGAATATAAAGGATCGTACATCTTGCGCTCCGCAATGCCTGTTTGGACTGGCGAGGGCAAACGGATGGACGCTGCCTGAATTTCGAGTATTACGGATATCAGCATCTCAACTGACTATATATGTATTAAGTTGTGGCAAGTACTGAATATCAAGCATTAATCATTGGCTGGGTATTGATAGTATATCACCAGTAGTACCATGCTTGCCAACATATGACTGGTTCGCGTGGGAGGGGAGCTTGAACAAGCCTCCTCCATTCCTCCAGTGCCGATTCAGGATCTAGATTATCTATCATGGGATACCCCGCGTGGTCCTTGAGTGTGGACTTGTAATACTAATATCTCGTAGACATACACTACACAGTGGCGGCCTGTAATTGCAGTGTACGGTAGATGGCAGGAAATGTAACTTTATTGTAATTCTAATGTCCGAGCTATGGATTTGTGGTGGCCTGCCCGGTTGATATTTGGGTATTGGCCCGACCCTGACCAAGATATCCTAACCACGTTATGTTAATTATTAACCACCTGATGAATAAGATTGAAAAGTTAATTAGAGACTAGCATTTGAAGATCTGCTATCCTGTGTAAGAGACATCCTGACGTTTCCAGTCGGACAAAAAGGTCCTTGGGGCCATCAGGGAGAGGAAGGGTTTCAGGGTGGATGCTAAATGTGCAGGTTTCAAACCTGCTGGAAATGACTTGAGGCTTAACATCGACACCCGGAAGTATGGCGTGGAGGGCTTTCTGGTCCGGAACGAGATCACTCTGTTCGGCGGACATAGTGGAATAGAAGAAGATAGATCTACTTGGGGTGGCTAATTGAAGTTGAGGCGGGGGCTCTACTAAATAATCAATTGGTCCTATCCGAATGTTGACTTACCGGGGTCTGACATCCGTCATCCGTGCTTCCCAGTCCATGGGTCCCAGGTTCCGAGCGTGTGTACCCAGATCATACGTCTCACCTCCGGGCTGTCTTGGGAAGGGGTGAAATGTTGGATACAATAGTTGTAATGCTTCTATATAGCTTTTGTTTGCCTTATTGTGCATGTTACCAAGCCTATGGTCGTAACATCAGTCTAAGGATCTGTTAAATTGAGCCTGTTGCTAAACAGGTAGATAGAGTCTGTTAATAACGGCTATTATGCGGTACACCACAAAAGCGTTTCTCCTTGACTGTCCCTTACTTTGGTAACTAAGATCTGACGAAGTGCGTGGAGTGGTTTCTAGAGTACCGCTCGCACAATTAGCATATCCTCGCCTTGTAAAAACCGACCGAAATCTTCCAGGAAAATCTGAATATGGGACTGTTGTTATCATCCTGGGGTCAAAGCCGAAGACCCAGAAGGGCGAGCATGGACGC